CTCTTTCCCATGTGATCCTGATCTCTCCAATTGCAAAATCCGAATCCTCAGATTAGCACTTTGCCTGTTGCATTGCGCATTGCCATAAACAACCAACAGGCCATAATACCATTACCAGCGTCCTCTTCTATATAAACAATCATGTAAAGACAAAATATTGAATTAAAAAAGCTTTTCAATTAATCCCCGAGCAATCTTCTTTTTCGCTGGAACTCAAATACAATACGGGTCTTATCAGAGAGGTAACAATATTGTCTTTGTTTATCATTCTTGAAAACTTGAATCAAAATTATTGTTTTTCGTGTTTGTTTTCAGTTATTCTCCGAGATATTGTACTTCATATGAGCTTCTTTTTCCTTATTTCTTTCTTTCTTAAATTTACCTATGAAACCATTTGTTAATCAAGGTTTGAAGTTTTGAATCTGAATGTATGATTTGTGAATTGAGGTTTTGGTGAGACAAGCACATTTTGTGAGTTTAGGATTTTGTCTAATGCGAGTATCAAGGAAAAAAATCACAAACAGCAGAACTTCATTCCCTATTAATGATGAATTGCTATCTGGATTTGCGTTTTTATTCTTCACACGCATTCCTCTTCCCAATGGATAATTAACCATATATAATCTGTTTTTTTTTTTTTGGATTGTGTATTTTATCCATAATTCTGCATACAATATATCGGTGAAGTAAACCGTGGATTTAGGCAATCTTAGTGCATTTTGCTTAGGATTTTTCTTTATTGCGAGTATCAATTGAACAAAATAGAACATTGAAGAATTGCAGAATTGCACTCCATATTGTTGAATACTCGGTTTTTCGCCTTAAATATTACAAATTCTATTCTTTACAATTCTTAAGCAATTATTAATACTTATTTTTAGGCATATTACAATAAGTAGAGCTTTGTTGTTGTAGGAGATGGAAATTTGCAAGCCCCTCAAGTCTGAAACTGCCTTAAAGCATCGTCCATTGACTCTTTTCAGACTAATAAGGGGTCTGATATGCTTGGTAGTCTTTCTTTTCACTGCTTTCATGTTTCTTGCATACTTGGCGCCCGGAGCTGCCTTCTTGCGGTTCTTGAGCATCACTTACAGCAGAAAAGCGACGTCGTTAGCGTTCGCTCTCTGGCTCGGTTTGTGGCCTTTTCTGTTCGAAAAGATAAACAGGACCAAGGTGGTTTTTTCAGGAGATATTGTTCCATCAAAGGAACGTGTTATGGTCATTGCCAATCACAGGACCGAAGTTGATTGGATGTACTTGTGGGACCTGGCGTTGCGAAAGGGGTGCCTTGGACATATCAAGTATGTCCTTAAGAGCAGCTTGATGAAACTGCCCGTCTTAAGTTGGGGATTTCATGTTCTGGAGTTTGTTCCTTTGGAGAGAAAGTGGGAAGTCGATGAGCCTGTTCTTCGACAAATGCTTTCGACATTTTCGAATCCTCAAGATCCCTTGTGGCTGGCTATTTTCCCAGAAGGAACTGATTTTACGTACTGACCTGTTATCTTCTCTTGTCCCTCCTAATTTCTTGAATATACATCCATTTCTCTTTTTTGGTCATATATCTATGCTCTGACATCATATTGATCTGAGCGAACAGTTTCCTCTTACAATTTTCTAAATTGCACGTAACTAAGATTCTATATATCCTTACTTGGTGATAGAGAAAAATTAATAGTTGTTTGCCTTTTACTGTAGTGAACAAAAAAGCAAAAGAAGTCAGAAATTTGCAGCAGAAGTTGGACTCCCCGTGTTATACAATGTGTTGCTTCCGAAAACCAAAGGTTTCTGTGCCAGCTTGGAAGTTCTAAGGGATTCCTTGGACGCAGGTTATTTAGAACTAAAATTCAACTCCTCTTTGTCCGTTTGTTTTAAAATAAAATTAAAAAAAAAAAAAAAAAAGACTACGGGTTGTTGTTGATCTCAGGATCATGGTTGTCTCTCCTTTGCCTAATATATTTCAACATTCATTTTCTTATCTCTTTTGCACTCCTATGACAGTATAGTTTAGTGATTACCACTTAGCAAAAATGTGCAATTGGATGGATCATACTCAAGGAGTTAGTAAACTAATCAAATACCATCACACGTAAATCCCTGTGTAATTGTTATCCTCTATAGTTTATTGCATATCAACAAGAAGTGCAAATTTCTTTCTTTTTTTCTTTTTCTTTTTTTTTTTTTAATTTGGAGTAAGGGATTCGAACTTTGGACCTCAACATTGAAGGCGGATAGGGATTTATCGCTAGGCTGAGACTACAATCACCAGTCTTTTTTTTTCCCCTTTGTTTGTTAATTGTTATCTCCATTTATTTGAACTGAATTTATCATTTGACTGCAGTTTATGATGTGACTATTGCATACAAGAACAACTGCCCCTCCTTCTTAGACAACGTGTTTGGCTTGGATCCATCAGAAGTTCACATGCATGTTAGGCGTATCCCTGTCAAGGATATCCCGGCATCCGAGGATAAAGCTTCTTCTTGGTTAATTAATGCCTTCCAGCTCAAAGACAAGTTGCTCGCAAATTTCAAGGCTGAAGGCAATTTCCCTAACCCAGTAGCAGAAGAAGAACTATCTTCAGTGAAATGCTTAGCAAATTTCCTGATGGTAATTCTATGTACTGCAATATTTGTTTATCTCACCTTTTGTTCATCTGTTTGGTTTAAAATTTACATAATTTTGGCCTGTGCATATCTTGCTTCGGCTACTTACCTGAACATTCAACCGATGCCATTTCTAGACTTTGTTAGAGCAATGTTTTGTTTCAAGAAAACAAGAAATGATTAATACAAAAAAGAGAATACAATTTATGCCAAATAAACATCAATTATAGTGTTTTAGTATTAATGAATATTACTCTTGCTTGCTCTAAACAAGTGATCCGTATATACAAAGAGTTTTCTTGTTGCTCTTGAATTTACGTGTCTTTCGTCTTTGGTGTTGTTTTTCCCTTGTTTTCCAAGTATTGGTATTTTAAGCTGAACATAAGGATAAAACCAGGAGAAGAAAAGAAACAAAAGGAGAAAGGTTGTGACTAGTTATCAAAAACATTATGACAAGATCCAACCTCTCTTTGCGTGTTGCAGGTTTCATTTGTGTTGCTGACTTTATAATGATCACTTTTGTTATAATCTTGTTAGGTAATAAGGTACAAGATTATGATAGTAGGAATCCTCTTTTCTCTCAAACTAATCCCCATCATACTGACGCCACATAACACATACATTAGCACGTATTTAAAATGACTTTGATGTTTTATCATAATCATTTGTAAAATGCAACGGTCCAAACCCCATTTTGTCGGTTCTTTTTGAATTAAACGCTTCAGTGGGATTCGGTAGGAAGAGAGATGTTACCATCATGCGGCAATAATTCACACAATCAATCGATATAGAAACTTAATGGGACAGTTAAAAACAGAAACGCGTTTTAGATGACTATTTGCCTAGCTAATTAAGGGAACTAGCCGACTATTGTTGTCTCATTGTGTGAAATGTAAATCAGAAGGAACAATTGTTTTCACATATCCATTTGTTCCTTTCCTTTTTTTTTTTTTTTTTCTTTAGTGCTTGAGTTGGGTGAACTAATAACCAAACTGTTTTGCTAATTTATTGGCTAGCCACTTGAGGCTAGGTACTGGCTATGCACGTGAATGAATGCGTGTGTCAACCAGTTTAAATGGGAGTCATTAGCCCCGTTCCGTATTAAAAAAGTCTATTTTTGCTTTTCTCCGGTTGACGTCAAAATCTCACATTTCAATTAGGAAAATCAAAGATGAAAAAATCACATAATCTTATTAAAAAGTCGAGGGCATTTTGCATATTTCACATTCTACTAATATAACTAAACAAAGTTTTTGCCATAGACGTTAGTACGTTTACAATGGGAAAATGGAAATACGTAAAGAGGAAAAAATAAGAAAAAAGGGGAAACGGGAGGGAGGAGAGAGAAGTGGGGGAAGAAGCACGTGGGGTTTAACCGCCCAAGAACGTGTGAGAGTGGGAGATCGAGCTGATGTTTGCCACGTGGGTGTTAGTTTGACGACACTCTTCAAAAGTTGATCATTTTTTTTTTTCTGTCGATGATGCCTAGGTAAGAGTCCCTGTCACGTGACTTGATACTCCAGTCCAGTCCTCTTGCCAAGTACACTGCTCAATAGTTGTTTTCCGTTTCTTTGGAGAGATTATTTTCGGGGTTGAGTTAAAAGAAAACTTTAAATCCCGTTCATTTTACTTATTCGAATTTAGAATTTAAATTTTATTATAGTAAAAAATTCTCACAAATAATCACATTTAATTTTTTTACTACAGTAAAAAATTCTCACATAAAATCACATCTCAACTCAAATTAAAAATTTAAATCAGTGAACTAAACGGCCTTATTATACTCATTTTTTCCTTCTTCTTCGTTCATTTGATCACCAAGAATATATATATTAGAAAAGAAAAGGAAACTTTTAACTATTAACACGTCCTATATACATATACTATGCGTAATGAGACGGTCCATTCAATGTCTATTTTCCAAATTTAAAAGGATCGAAATTTATCAAATACAAGTTTCATTGGCCGTTGAGCATTCAAATGACAACGTGGCGAGTTGTTATTGGTTATTTAGAGAGGCGTTGTATGTTCCTTCCCACAAATGATATAGTTCCTTCCCACAAATGATATAATTCCTTCCCCCCACGAAACCCACAATTTTTTTAATTGTTTTCGGAAGGAACCCCACAACTTTAATTGATCACGTAAAGATAGGACGAAGTTGACATGCCCAAATTATGTGTACGGCCCCACACTTTAAATACTAACCTTCCTATTTCAACTTCCATGAACCCTAAATCTTCATTCTCATTTCTCCATTCTCCAACACAAAAACAGCTATAAGCTAATTCTCTTGTCTCTCCATTGCCCCATTACCAGTACTTCTCCTCCTTAATTACTAAGTTAACACCCAAAATATATATTCCCCTCCTATTTCCTTTCCTCCTTCACCAAACAACTCCATTGATCCAATGGCCAATTTCACTTCCATCACCCTCTCTTTTCTTCTCCTTCTCTTCGTCTTTTCAGGTAAAGAACTCTTAAAGCATTTCATGTTATATAATGTTCTTTTTATCATCGTAAAAGAGAAACAAAAATATGATCTTATGTCTTTTGAGGAATTTTATATACAGCAGCAATGGATGTTAATTATGTTCCTTTGCATTTTTCTTTTTAATTTTGTTATATTTGCATATTTTATTTGTTTAATTCATGTATAGTTTCTTTTGATCTGTTCGTATTAAAAAGAAGTACAAAATTTGTAGGTGTAAACCTCGCATAGCATGAAAGTTTTAATCTATCTTTTTGCCCTAAATATATTTCTTTGGTGATTGAAAAATGCAGGTAATAATGTAGGTGATGCAACAGTATTCACTCTCCAGAACCGTTGCGGCTACACGGTATGGCCGGGAACGCTCTCCGGAAACGGCGCCGGAAATCTCGGTGACGGCGGTTTTGTGTTACCTCCCGGTGAGTCAGTCCAGTTCACGGCCCCACCGGGTTGGTCCGGCAGGTTCTGGGGCCGAACCGGATGCACCTTCGACAAATCTGGAAAAGGCAAGTGCGCCACTGGTGACTGCGGCCCGCTAAAATGCACCGGCGGCGGCGCGCCACCCGTGACGCTCGTCGAGTTTACCGTAGGCTCCACGTCATCCGAGAAGGACTTCTACGACGTGAGCCTCGTCGACGGCTACAATGTCGGGATGGGAGTCAAGGCGGTCGGAGGAACCGGCGACTGCCAGTACGCCGGTTGCGTGGCCGACCTCAACGGAAACTGCCCTCCGGAGCTTCGGGTCACAGGTTCGAATTCCGGGTCTGTGGTGGCGTGCAAGAGTGCATGTGAGGCGTTTAATGCGCCTGAATTTTGCTGCACCGGGGACCACGCGACGCCGCAAACGTGCTCGCCCACGCAGTACTCCGCCATGTTCAAGAATGCATGCCCAACGGCCTACAGTTATGCTTACGATGATGCCACCAGTACTTGTACCTGTTCCGGTTCGGATTACTTGATCACGTTTTGTCCGACCGGGTCGTCCGGTTGATTATTGTAAGTCATCGAATAGGAGAGGTTAATTATTATTATTATAATTATTATCAGTCTTTTTCTTTTTATTTTTTGACTTTTAATATCTGAATAGGAAAGCGTATTTATTGATTGGATTGGGTTTATAGTACGTATCTATTGATTACGGTATTGTTAAGCAATTAATGATATGTTTCTTTGATTACCGTTGGCAGTATCTGTATGGTTTAAGATTTTATTAAGGTGTTTCAACATTGAATAATTGGCGCATAATAAGATCAGATGGAAGAGTTTCTTTGCGTGTAGCATAACTTTAATATTTCGTTGAGTTTCTTGGTTTTGAATTTTGGGAGTGTTTACCAAACTATATAAAGAAAAGAAAAATGTAACAAAAAGGGCGACATGATTGAAAAGGAAAGTAAAGGAATGAAGATGACAATGAGTTATTGTTATTTCCTTTTTGTGTTTAATCTATTAGATATGTGATGAGAAACAATCTTCTTTTTTTTTTTTCTTAAGGGGAATTCACTTTCATGTATTTATAAAACTTAAAAATACTAAATTTTATCAATGTAATTACTAAAATATCTTTTATATAATTAAATAATACCTTATAGAATATTAATCAATATCGAGAGTAGTATTGACATTTTCTTTCATTTCTTATCATGTGTGTGAGACAAGAAAAAATCGTGTTACTAATTTTGTAAATAAATACAAAATTTGTAGTTTTGTTGGGATTAAAAAAAACAAAGAGAGAGAGAGAGAGAGAGAGAATGAATCACTTCTTGGAAAGGCACTGGTAAATAAAGTCCTTTTTTTTTTTTTTTTCTAATATGATTCAAGAGATAGAAAATGACATGAAAAAAATAACAGGAGCAGAGACACGGGGGCTGCTTTAACAATGAGAACTCACTGATCGCACACGTTTCTGTGTCGTTTTATCTTGAGTTTGTGTATGAATCTTTTTGCTATCTTTGTTTCTGGCACACGTTTTGAAGCCTCACATGTTGTCACTTTCTTTTACCGAAACAAATTTTTAGTTTGGAACCTAGCAATATATATGCATCCTTTCAAAAATGTTCAGCTCATTTTAGCTGCAGGCTGCAGCAGATCACATGTACTTTATGTCGTGCTATTTGAAAAGTTGTCAAACAATTCCTACAAGAAAAAGATACTATTCCATCCAACACCATTGACGTGCTTGGTATTTTAGATACCTGGCGAACAGAATTTAGATATCGCGGAGCTAAATGTCACCGTTTGCGACAATACAAACTTCCTGCTCTCGTTCGTTCTTGAGAATGTAACTAAAATGGTTAATCACAGTTTTCAATCAGAGACCAAACGATCCATGCACCTAATTTGTACCTTATAGAATAATAATGCTTGTAACAACGTAGAATCATTGGTGCTTCTCGTTTTCTTTTCGGTTTTTAACATACCCTTCTTACCATCAAGAAAATACAAACCTCCTTCTGAACTATGTAAAAATCTCATGAAGTTGTTAGTTGTATCCCACGCAAGATAATGATACTGCTGCTGATAACAAAGTAATAAATCATACGCGAACCAAAAAAACAAAAAACAAAAACAAAAACAAAAACAAAAACAAAAAAAGTAACAAAAGTACAAGGCTTTTTTCTTCTTTTTTTTTTCATTTTCCTTTGATGGCCTTCGGCCAAACCTGTGTTCACACATCTGAGAAAACGCTTTTTTTGGTTGCTTTGCATACAATCACGATTTTCTCTACAAGTGGCTTTCATCTTTGAATGCCACAACTCGTAACCTTCAAAACCCAATATTTTTTTAATCATTATTGGGTCATGCAGAAGGGAAGCTACATCTAGTACACATGCATTACGTGCCTTTTTTTTTTTTTTTTCCTACAAAGAGACCCTAGAAAATTACAAGCCAAAACTACAATCAGAAGTGGGGAAAAAAATGAAAAACAATGGCACTAGAGCTACCTATATTTTACAGACTTGTCTCTCAAGGATAAAATATTCTGGAAACGATTAACCCAAGAGAGTTTCATCTCGCCAGAGCCAGTACATTGACCTTCACTTTCTTCCTCACTGCTGAACAGGGTTTGGTCGGAGCAGTCAAGTGATGCTCCACATGCTAAATTATATGACCGGCATGCGGAATGGCACACTCGCAGCCTGTTGTCTCCATCCTTATCGCACTTTTGGATTGAGATCTGTTATCAAAGGCGGAAAATTCTTAGTAAAATATATAAATGAGATTGTTCATTCCTAAAAAAAATGGCATGAAACTTATGAGATATCTATATTCTATTCTACTATCATAGAATCCAATCATCCATAATGAGTAAATCATTAGTATATACACATGGCCGTGCTAATGAACTGTATATTGCATGCAGTAGATAAATTCTCTGTCAAAGTGGAGAAGGCAAGGAATGGTTAAACCTCCGGAAACAAGACTAATAGACCAAAACCAGTCAAAATGTTCATCATGTCCCACAAGGCTTATCAGAGACTTGAGCGCGTCTCGTTGGGAAAAAAGAAATCAGAGAAAACAAAAGACCAGAAGAACAGCAATGAAAAAATTAAACATTTAGTGTGAGAGTAGAGTTGGAACGGGAAGGTAACATACGGAACAAAGAAATAGGTTTTGCAAAGAGATGGACAACTTACCCAGCAGGCCAAGCGCTTTGCGGCAGCATCACAATAGCTGCTTCCAAAAATGTTAAATAGCTTTCTAGCACCACCTGGAAATAAACGGTGGTAATTGGGCATGACAACAACTTCTTCAAGTTGCTGCAGTATACCAGGTTCAGTGGGTGCACAGTGCTGGCCAGAAATATCTCTTTCAAGCACATTTTCACAAACTGAAAGACTAGAGAGAAGTGTGGAGCTGTTCTGGCATGAGTAGCCAGCATAGTCGGAGCAACGGAATTCACAGACTCCATTATCACAAACCCCTCCATGAAGGCTGCATTGCTCGTCACAAACAGCTGCATAGCAAGGCAAATGACACTGTCAATAAAAAAATGCGTTTTCCAGTTGAGGACAATGTCACGTCATATTTACTCAATATTAAAGCTATCATCATGAAATAGGAGCAAAACAACTTTTGTCAATTACCAGTTGAACAGTCAACACCAGTGTACCCATTTTCACACTCACACAGCCCATTAGAAAGGCAATTGCCATGTCCACTACAACTATTAGGACAAGAACCTGCAAGAAACATTGGTAACTCACGAATTATTCCATTTAGATGGTAGCTTAAAACTTTGGAACTCCATGCATGTCATTTTCTCTAACATGCAAATATAAGTGGGAAGAAAAAGAGCTCACGTTTACTACAATCAGAGCCATGAAACCCAAGAAAACAGTGGCACCTTCCGTCAACACAGTCTCCATTAAAATTACATGAATTTGGGCATTGTCCAGACACAGGAAGTAGGTTTGTGCTACAGAGTTCATGGTACGCGGGGCAGATCAATTCACCTACAGACAAAATAACAAATCAATCAGTAAAATTTCCCTCATTTCCCATACAAATGAATTGATTGAACACAACTGTTACCATTAAAGCCAGGGAACTGAATTGGTCCACCAGCTTCAGGGCATACTTTCCACATCCCATCCACAGCAACCTGATAAAGAAATTAGATTAAAAAAATCAGGAATTCACTGCAGGGAAGGTTACAATAAATGATTTAGTAACATGCACAACCCTGTACTTGCAACATCGTTCGTGGGGGCAAGCCAATTATATCAGAATACGCATTTTACAAACAGATTTGAATTGATGCATCTGATCAACCAAAGAACTAATGAAACAAAACAACCAACAATCAAAATCATCAACACGTACCTCTAACGAATTATTAACACATCTGTGCTGATAACAACCATTTCCTTGAGTCATTGAACCTCGTACAAACCCAGTCCGCACTAATGATGAGGCCATACACCTATATGTTGACAGAAAAGGCATGTCAAGCTCGTTAAATTTTTTGTAACATGCCACATTTCTTCTGTGAGTTGAAAGTAGAAGTCCTACCTTGAGTTGCTCCCACGCACCTCACCCAACATTCTGTCAGGTGCTCGTGCACTGTTAGCATCTGTACAGGATCCGTCAGAGTAAGCTACAAAGTAGGTGCAGTAATCAGCCAATGAGGATTGTCCACCTGCAACAGTAACTATGGTCAGTCATCAAAACTTCACATCAAGAGTAAAATCAAATGATAGATAGCTTATAGACTGTCCAAATTATGGCATTCATGTACATGAAATGACCACATGTTTCACAAGTCATGCCTTATTGCAGGTAGTGTGAAAGAAAAGTGCAAGATAGGATCTATGGAAACAACTTTATACATGAGAGCAAATTACAAAAGCGCAGGAAAATTTACCTTTGTTAGCCTGTGGGAAGTAGCGGGCCCACAGGGGAAGGTCTCCACTATAACTCACAATTGGACAGTAACCCTCCGCCTCCCTGTTGTATGTACAGCCTGACAACTGAGTTGTGTTACAATGGTAAGCGCCCTTCCAGAGATTGCAAGGGGAGGTGACAAAATCGGTTCCTTGATTACGGCCCCAGTCAAGGCGGTCTGCCATACTATAATTAGCCTGGTACCATCCACTATCTTCTAGCAAAGCCAGTGTCATTTTTGAGACCACAGATCTAGTATCCACTGAACCAGTCATAATCTCATTCATCAGTAGCCTCTTTTCCCAGTGTGAACCTGAGCACAAAGTAAGGTGCCCATCAAAATCGAAACGCTATCACAAACTTGGGAGCAGCAATATGAAATCATTAAGAAGACTATTCCAGCTACATTTCTTCTAATATATTATGTAGTCTTGTTTGAAGAGTATTGACTTATCATACCACAACTATCCCTGCATAGCATCTTGGTGATGATACCACCCCCACCATAGCATATACACACAGAAATCAACAGAAATTCATTTGGAGGAAATAGGTCTGAAAACAATATATAAGAAACAAAATTAATACCTGATGTACCACGCCCTCCTCCATCTTCTAGCTCTAGACCAGTGAAATTCTCAGAAAATGCCTGCCAGAGAAACACTTGTCAGCTAATGCTGGTCTGGTGCATAAATATACACGTCAAACACACTACTTGATACTGAAGATTTTGAAAAAATAAGAAACAAATTAAATACAGCATAATGATGCCGTGAGTGCATGACAACGCGTGGAAGCACAACACGTGTTACAGTACGCCCTAGCTTTTCATCCATGACTTGTTCTGTGACCTGCAAATAAAGACAGACAACAGTTGAGCTCCAAATGAAGTCAATATATTCCCATAAATGGATAACAATAAAAAATTCAAAGTACAAATTCAAATACAAGTCATAAAGAGAGGCCCGGAGGGAGAAGGAAAACAGAGTTTACAAATACTATATAACAAAGGTTTAAATGAAAACGTAATAGTAAAAGCATTTACCTGACTACGCCTTCTTTTCCTTTCATCCCTAAAATGGGCAAAGGCATGGGGGTCAAATCCAAGAACATGCATAACCTGGAAGGTACCATACTAGTCGCTTAGTAATGAATCGGATTGCAATTCCAAGTGTCACAAAGACAACATCCAACCTACCTCATGTATGAGTGTAGCTGAGAGTAAAGTCTCCGCTTCAGCAGTCAAATGACGAGGAGCAACATTAACATGGCCTATGAAAAGAAAGAAAAAAAAAATCACAAGGTTATGTACAAGAGTAAGGTCATTTTGCACAATAAACAACAGTCCACCAGTAAATTACCAGCAATTGCTCGGCCCCATTGATCACGCTCACATGCCACTGCCCAGGCAAGTGTGTTGCCAGTGGTAGGCCTTGTTGTCACCAGCAGAACCAAATCTGCCTCAGCAACGCCCTCTGGAAACGATGTTTGAAAGAAGTTATTAAGACACAAGATAACCAAAAGAAGCTTCAAGAACAAAAGGAAAGCAACTGACGAGCAAAGAAAATCATCAAACTTTTCAGACGATACCTTCAACATATTTACGCGGCAGTTGTACACCTCCATCTTGACCACATGCAGAATAACCACTTAACCTCAAGTTCCCTTTGACAGGTTCAACAGCCAAGGCTCTCCTGAACCAGTCTGCTGTCTGCCCTAGAGCCTGTAACAGAATGCATTTAAATATTAGCTATTGCAAATTATTGTCAATACCAATCTCATACTGTCCTATGCTTACTAAAGTCTATTTAATGGGGCTTAACTAACATCAAGAGTTAGTACACGATTAAGAATATATGAATTATCACTAAACTAAATATTGATACTATCCCAACATTAAATTGATATAGACAACAAGAGAAGATCATGAACGGCATAAAATTTAAACAGGTAAAAGAGCAGAACAGAAAAGTAACCTTGCGAAGGCGACGCCGTTTGTCCTCCCCCGCTATATCATCCGAAGTGCAGTTGTACCAGCAGTCACCAGAGATCGGAGGATCTCCATGAGGATTACAAGAAGGACATCCAGGAATAGAAGACACGGAAGGCTCTCCAAGCTGGTAATAGGGAAAAAAAAAAAAAAGCCAAGATCACTAATACAGCTTGCGGAAACGCTCAAAGCTAATCTTTACCAATGCTGAGACTTACCTTCACAATTTCACCAACATTGCGACAATCTCTATCGGGCGAATGGCCAACAGCATCATAATTTAGGTAAATCCTAATAGGCTGCTTAGCGTCCTTCTGTTGCTCTAATGACTCAGAAATACCAAGCAACGCCCTCCCTTTCCTGTGAATGGGTTTTACTATACCAGATTCCTCATATACCTGTGGGGTAACAGTGTACACCTTTCGACCGGGCTGCCTTCTTTGCTCGAGTATCTGGTCATGAATGCACGAATGCGACACAATGTTTTCAGTTCCCGTTTCGGGGCCTTGCCAATGTAGCTTGTGTTCTGTTGTTTTTGCCTCAGTAGCCTCCAAACATACTAATATCAATACAATCTGAAGCGCAGACCATAAACCCACAAATGTGGGCGACATAAAGTCAGCAAATTTGTCATTCCAGGACCCAACTAATAACATATTATATGTACGGTCTTAAATTTTATCATGTTATTTGATTTTTGGTATTAGAGTCCTGAATTTTAACTAAGCGGAAAAGCAGATCTAACAACAGTAAACTGATAATAGCTTATCCAAAATCAAATAGAAGTTTAAGATGAGAAGGAAGAAAGAAAAAAGGGATGTGACAGTTTATCACAAGGTTGACCCAAATTTTGCCAAAACCAAGCAATAGATTCAGCTCTGTTTTTCAAAGCAAAGCATATTAAACCCCAAAAGAGAAATTTGCATGCGTGAAGAAAAGGAAACAACAAATCTCCCACTAATTTGTCACCTCAATTTCCCAGAAGAACATTACAAAGATTTACCCTTTAATATAAATAAAATTCATAAAAGAGGGGGAAAAAAAGTTGATTATCGAGTAAAAAATAAATGAAATAGACAAAAAAGGCAACTTTCCCAATCGAAGTTGCCTCCACTAGACAACCCTAGGCCGCCGTTTGTTTCCAGGGAAAATGTCACGGAAAGGGTCCGAAAACTTTAGAATGCTACAGTGTCAGACCCTCAAATCCCAAATCCTCCGTTCCACTTCGCGACAGTTTCTCATCAACCCAAAGAGAACTACAAGATTACTCCCCAAAAACCCAGAACCGGAACCACAAATCTCCATTCCCAAGCGCAAAAAACGCACCAAATCACAGCAAAGAGAAAACCGAAAGCTCACCTCGAGAACAACCACGGCAAATCGGGACCTGGCACCAAATCTGTGTACGGCACATGGAGTGCACCGAACCATCACCTCCATGAAATGTAGAAGAGTCTACCACCAACAGCATCGATTCCATCAAATCGCCGGCGACTCTCCGATCGGCTTCAGAACCAACAAAAACCGCTGGCTTTCCCTCATTTTTTAGAGCAAAAACACAACTTCTCGGAGCTCAGAGAGAACAAATCGAAGAAACCCCTCGCCTCCGTTTCCGATTCGGAAGAGAAAACGAGTATTGGGTCTTCCTGCTGCGATGCGAAATGTGCCGTACGGACTGTTGAAAAATTGGTATTGATGAAAATGAAATTAAAAGAAGTAAAAAAAAGCTTTGAAAGAGCTTTTCTTTTTCTGTTCTTTCAGAAATGTGAAGAAACAGTGACAGTTAAGGGACCAAGAAGAAGAAGAAGAAGAAGAAGGGGGAGAAAGAAACAAGAGGAGGTGATGGAAAGAAAATCAAATGGATTGGGTGGGGTGGGTAGACTGATGAAAAAATAATTTTAACAAAAGCTTACCCTTTTTTCTTTTCTATAAGTTTTTACTCTTTTTTTAGTGTGTTTTATTATATTTTATAACGGTCCAAAATTAGAACAAAAAAGGAAATAAGATATGAAAATAAAAAGATCAGGTCGGTCATACTAAATGACCCACATGTTGATTGAAACTACGAAAAGACCACTGGAGTTTCCTTTTCTTTTTTCTTTTTTCTTTTTTTTTTCTCCATCTTTTGAAGAATGTAAAGAGAAGAATTATATGACTTCGTTCGTTTCGCTTTTCTTTTTTTTTTCTCCATCTTTTGAAGAATGTAAAGAGAAGAATTATATGACTTCGTTCGTTTCGCTGATTCGAGTTTTATTACAGTAAAAAATTCTTATAAATAGTCGTATTTAATTTTTTTATTATAATAAAAAATTCTTACATAAAATTATATCTTAACTTAAATAAGCACAACGAACGAACGAGATCTGTATAAATGATCTTTGAATTTAGGAAATAATGGGGTGAAGTGGTGGGTATTTGTATTAATAATACTCCACGGGGAATCTGGTAACGACGGTTGGTGACCACTACGTGAATTGAGCATTAAATGCAATTTAGGATGGATAAGCTTTGATTAATTGGTTAGACTTGGATGAGCACTTTTAGTCGAAATAAAGAAGAAAAAATGAATTCGATTATTAACGTGAATACTAGGTAAGTTTTTTTCTTCAAAAAAAAATACTAGGTAAAAATTGTAATTAAAATTATAACTTTTTATGGGGAAAAATTATGAAGACAAAAAAATGTTATACTTGCATCACAAAAGTCTTTTCTTTTGGGAAAAAATCTTTTTTTTTTTTTAATGCAAGAGCCTCGTATAAGCCTTGCCTTTGCAAGAGGACCACCCCAAAAATCAATCTCTCGTTCTGATTTTATTCCCATATGTTGTCCATAACGAAAAATGATATTGGATATACAACATAAGACAATAGCATTTATAATTTAATCTAATTTTAATGCAACAGAGCAATAAAAAACATAATTTTCAATTTAGGAGTCTCCACTTTTTATGGTAGAAACTACAACTATAAATTAAGAAGAGGTAATGGTCGTCCCGTGCTATGATAAGAAAACTTTTTTTTATGATAAATTAAGAGCACGATTTCGATATATATTAACTTTTTTGTGCTTATACTTACTAATTTGATTTGGTATAAATTATATTTAATAGTTAATTACACTATTTGTGCTTATACTCCATAATTGAACTCTAATTTTTTTTTTTTTTTTTGCTAAACATTTAACACTATCAATCCAACAATCCCTTGTCTTATTCAACCAATTAAATAATTAACATTTTTCTTAACAACACATTAAAGGACAAAAGGCAAAACATTCAGCACGGTTCAAATATATACATAACGTTTCCATGAGTAAATCTAAAAAAGAGAATAAATGCAAATTAGATTTTTAAACAATAATAACAAAGGAAATATGAGAAAAAAAACAGAAATACCAATTGCCATTTAATTAATAAAAAAATGTAAAAAATCATAATAATACGTAATTATTTAAAATGACATTTAATAATAAATCTGCTTAAATCATGACAAACTATACACTTCAGAAAAATCCGCGAAAAAGAAATGTTAATGAAGCATGGAGGTAATGAGTGCAACCATAAAATCACATTATGAGTTGAATCGAGTGTAACGACTCGCGGTTCGCGGATGATTATGAGCTAAGAGTCAATTTTTTTATTTTTTTTATTTGTGCCAATAGTTAGACCGAAATTCGTCAGATATCTAATATCTTGTCCGTTAAATTTGGGGGCTCCACGTGGAGCCCATCTGGTGAACGGCGGAGAATCATTTGGTAGGATTCTCGTCTGTTGTTCTGAAGTCAAAAAAGAATGCTACGTATTGGTGTTTTAAAGAACGTTGTGCGTTTAAAAACAAAAAAAAAAAAGTAGTAGAAGAAGAAGAATTGGTATCAAAGCAAACAATTTATAGTATGGATTAATCTAAAGGGTTAACAAATGATTCTCTTTTTTTTAGCGAATTAAAAAATGATTCTTTAGACAGAAAAAAAGGTTTATAGTATATTAGAATGCAATTGGATCAAACATGTTTTTATTAAAAAAAAATGAAAGCGGATAGTGTTTTTATGTAAAATAGTCGTTTCTTCTTCTTTTTCTTTTCTTTTTTTTTTTTTTGGAATAAAATGGACCTTTCTTTCCAAGAAGAAAAGATATTAATCATTCATCCCCCAAATTAGAAAATTTTATGTCTCTGCGATTGAGAATACATAAGCCCATACTTAATCAGGGTAAGTGAAATAGAAGTTTTAGACTGTAAATCCAAGTTTTTATGACTGTAGGGGGCAATTGAAATGCATTTTTAAGTTAAATTTGAGTATTTGACGTCAATGAGAATGAAAAGTGAAAAACGTGAAAAATAAAACGAAGATCCAAGAATTAATGTTGGTGTTTCCATGACCCACCTTATGCAGACCAATTGCATCATTTATATGTTCTGCGGCAGCTCCATTAAAGGCTATTGGTGATTGGTCCCACTCAGTTTTTGTTGTAATATATATTGTCCCATAATGACATATAAAATGCACAAATCGATCCTTATCCTCAAATTTTATATACAACTTTAATCCTACTTTTCAAAAAAATAAAAAAAATAAATTTAATCCTAATCTAAAGAGGCGTCTCTCTATTTTTCTAAAGAAAAAAAGTTATATAGTTTTTTAAGAAAAATAGCAAGCTGTATTGTGCAAAAAAAAAAAAAAAAAAAAAAAAAAAACCCCGATCAGGTAAGGCTGAGAGAATTGCTTTTTAGTTGAAAATTTAGTTTTATGACGGTTTTTAGTAGAATATTAAAAAAAGAAAAAAAAAACGAAACATTTGCTTGGTATGTCATTAACTACATTTGAGGAAACTTAGCTTGTTAATTTTTCTCTCTTTTTTTAACTAGATGTGGGAAATTTATACTCTACATTTTCATGTGTAATCAAATAGAAACTTGCTACATAAAAAAAAAAAAAATGGAAACGTACCGTTAGATTATTCTTCCACCAGATATTCCCCTTTTTTTTCGTTGACTAGTTTTAACTTTAAAAATATTGCTTAAATTTTTTATTTCTCGAACGTATGGTCATGGAACGACAACAACTAATTCTAATACGATAACAGTACCAACACGTTAGCTCTCTCACAACATGCTTTTTATTTTCTTTCTTTTTATTTTTATTTTTCCTTTGTGAAGAAATGAGAATATGGAAAGGTCTTTCTATGATAGAAGAAATGTGAAGAGGTAGCTTGCCATGTAAGCGATATTCCATGAGAGATTACGTTGATTAGAGCGTTGGTTTGGAACAATTCTATTTTGATTTCAAAGGACCAGGCAAAGAGAAAAACCTCATAAACAAGAAAAAGACCATAAACCATGAAGTTCCTTGGCCAATACATTAACTTTAAAAAAATATATAGAAGGGGTGGTTATAGGTTTGGTATTTTGCTGACATACATCTCAAGCCTCAGAGCCTGTTTAGTTCGCTGATTCAAGTTAAGATGTGATTTTATGTGATAATTTTTTATTGTAATAAAAAAATTAGATATAACTGTTTATGAGAGCTTTTTACTGTGACAAAACTCGAATCAGTAAAATGAATAAGGCATCAGCTTTTTCTCAAATTTTGACCTTGCATGAGTTGTTTTATATATATAAATATATATTGGGTCAAAATTTAGGATAATAATATTAGTTTGCCTATATTAACAAAAAAAGAAAGGAAATTAATCCATCATTATCCTTAAAAGGTGCTTGCTTACCAACATTAGTTAGAATACAGCTCATCTAACTTATTATAATTCAAACAAAGGAAACATCAAATTTTTTGTTTGTTTAATATCGTTGATTAACCTAACGGCACCAATATTTTAATTCCAGAAATGGTCCACAGGGTCCCAATTAGGTGCTATTACCATAATCTTGTTTAGATTCCGTACGAGTCATATGTCTTCAATGGATGAAATTCGGCCTCTGAAATCTAAGCCGATGTAAAGTTCCACCAATTGCTTGAGCTTTCCACTTGTACAAATTAAAATGCAAATTTGCAAACATTCAAACCTCATTGGTATTAATGACCCGTTTAATTCACTGATTCGAGTTTTTAATTCGAGTTGAGATGTGATTTTATGTGAGAGCTTTTTACTGTAGCAAAAAGGTTAGATTTAATTGTTTGTGAGAGCTTTTTACTGTAGCAAAATTCGAATTCTAAACTCGAATCAGCGAAATGAACAGGACCTAAGAGTAACTAATTAACTTAAAAGTATACCATAAATTGGTTGTTCGGCTCAGCTAATACATGAATGATAATAAACCAAAAGTAATGATCTTTTTGTAAAGAAAATTTGGCTTGTATTGAACTGATCTTATTTTGGGTATAATGGGTTTTGGGATCTGAAAGGGACTATTTTGTCTTTTGCCTCAAATTGGTCAATATCAGACAAAGACAGCTTGGTGACTGGGATATTTAACAGGGATATAATACATAAAATTAATGCAGATAAGTCCTGATACAACTATTTTTCCTCTCTTCTTTGTATTAGTAAAACTCATACCCAGTAACCCATTATGGTTAGCAATTAAAAATGCATGCCGATTGCCGCTGATATCATACCAAATCCTTGCATGAGTTCCATCCCCCCCTCCCTTTTTTAATTAGGGTGATTAATCTGCGTATCTCATAATATGTACTCAGTACTAATACTAATAATTGTTTAATCAATGTGATTATGGACACACGCTGTTCATTTATTATACCGTACATTTTTTAAAAAGGAGATTTCTACAGTGTGGTTTGAGAAAATAAACTATTAACATGTCTTTATTTTAAGTCGTTAGATCTATATTATGTATACTTTGTTTATTAATGTGATTTTAATCGGATCTAACGGTTAAAAAAAATTATACTACCGGTAGAAAACCTTTAAAATAATCAATTTCTTGTTATGCCATGTCCCAAATACTTCCTGCACCAGATGCAACAGAAGTGCCACGTCCCAAATACTTCCTACACCAAATGCAGCTGAACCGGAAACATGTTACAGCAATAATGATCTTTTCTCTTGGAAGGAACACCTAAGAGCGGAAAGAAAAGGGTAAGAGGTCCTAGTTAGATAGGATATTTGATTACTTTCAATTGTTAAATTGCATTATATATTTTTATTTTATATCATAATTTTTATGGGAAAAGTTAGGTCATGGAATCATAGAGCAGCTGATAGAAATGCATATGGGAGATATTTTTCTTGTATACTCACAGATATAATATATGATGTTAGTGGGAAAAAGAAAGGGTAAGCACCATGCGGAAAAAGGTATGAGATATGCAAGTTAAGGATTTGAATTGGGATGTGATAATTAAAGTTGGTTATTGGTAATAATATGCTTTTTTGCACTTTTGGGAACTAGTTATAGCAGTTGGGTTGGACATCGTTTGCTATTTTTACCAGTAGGTTGCCTACCACCACTTTCTCCGAGTTATGGATTTGGGGATTTTCATGGTAGATAACGAGTTCTCACCATTACAAGCAAGTTATAAACCGACAAAATATAAAAAGAAAAAAGAGAAAAATTTGTAGCAGCCTCAAAGCAACTTCACTTTTGACCCACGACCCTTTATGTTGAATTTATAGTATGTTAAAACAAACTTTTTATAATTAGTGCGTGAAAGAAAAAAACATGTAAAATAAATTCTAAACCACTGAGATTCAGAGGGTTTTTTTTTTTTTTTTTTTTTTTTTTTTTTTCCTTTAAGCCACACACACAACTAAACTAAACTTCTAACGACTTATAATATTAAGGTTTGTCTCAAAGTTTGACTCTTCTAGCCCTCTATCAAAAGTTGGTCGAGTAGTCAAGACCTAATTCTTCCAAATAACGAATTATTTTATACACTTTAATAATTGCACCTAAGGAAGGGATAATTTCCTATTAAACTTGTTCAAGCTTAAAATTTATGACCTTAATAATGTTATAAAAAAATGCATTTTCGGAAACGAATAATAGGTCCCCAAAGAATCCGGACGAAATTATTAGAGAGAAATTAATTGGAATCGATATCATTGTTGTGACCCTCTTAAGGTGGCTCCATATCCACCTGATCAAACTCAGTTGAAAGTTCAAGTCCCCCCAACTATATCTAGCATATTGCCGCAAATGTGTCATGTGCATTTCTACGTCTTTTTAGAAAAATTGAAAGTGGGGATACAATATGTATGGTCAGCATGAAATGACTAATTAGCCAAACTGCAGGGTCCCAATTCCGGATCATGCTCGCGAAAACGACTCATTTAAAAAGTTTTGGATTTGTGTCTACTAAGAGGAGCATCACATCCCAGATACTAGCCAGCTCAATTTATGTTTAATGGGTTTATGAGTTCCTTTTGATGTATTGAGTTCTGGGTTCAAGTTTTAAAGGACACAATAAAAAGAAAAAAAGCTTAATATCTCATTAGAAATATTAGTATAATTCTTTTTATCACTCTTTCTGTATTGATAAACGTCTAACTGTAATAACATAACGTGACATTAATACTTGAGCAGTACTAATGAGTTATCTCCTCATGCAAAACTCTACCTCAATGGCTTGGTTTGCTCTATTGACACATTTTGTGTCGATTCATGTTAATTTTGGTCATAAGAAATATTGAAATTATAGCGATATATTAAAGATGCTTTGAATCCAATGCTCCTATCTAAAAATTAAGATCACTAAAAAATATCAGTTGCGGCAGATTTTGTTTGGAGTACGGTATTTCTTACACCATACTGGAAGATGGATATAATTACTTACAGAGCAATTAAATTATACAGACAATTTTTAATTAAAAGTAAATTCAGTTAGTCTTGTCACTGTTGTTGTTGCCAAATCTAACAAAAAATCAGATTATGTGATCAATGGTGGACTAAAATCCAAGAAATGAAAAAGGGCACTAAAAACTGCGACATTTGGTAGTGGAATATATATAACCTATAAACTTGTCAGTGCCCACATTTACCTAACCTTTATGTTGTAGCTTTCAAAAATCTATCTGTTTTATTTTTTCTTCTCCTGATGGAAGCTTCCATATTCCGATCCTTTTTGCAGATAGCCTGTTGTTAATGGACTAAAGGACCATTTTCCCTTGCTATATTTCTCATCAATAATTACTAAAATTTACCATTTTATACCATTTGCTGAATCAGAACATATAAGGAGAATTTCACTCCTTTTTTCCTAAAATGATGATGTGTTTGTAATTTATTTTAAAATGATTTTATTTTTTTTATAAAAATAGAAATAAAAATATTATTAATTTCAAACAGAAATTATTTTTAAAAATACATTTATTAGTTTTATTAAGAGATTATTTTCAGTATAAAAAACCTCATTAATATCTCTCTCTATTTCTATTAGAGAGATGAGAAAACGAAAACAAAAAAAAATGAATTTCTCTCACATTTTATACTAAATTAAAAAATCGTTTTCATTTCTGTTTTTTATTTTTAATTATGTTAAACAACGTTTTAAAATCGTTTTCATTTTTTCTTTCTCAAAAAACGTAAAAAATAAGAACAAAAATAATTTTAAACACGATATATGTAATATAAATTAGATAAATTATTTAATACACTGAGTGTACTATGTCATATTATTTATGAAGTACACTCGTCTAATAAAATTATACCATTTAAATATTTTATTTATGTCAACTTTTATTTTTATTTTTCTCTTTCTTAATAGGTATTTATATTACCTATCAAGAAAGAAAAAAATAAAAATAAAAAATTAACATAGATAAAATATTTAAATAATATAATCTTATTAGAGAGATATATATATAATGTGGTACACTAAATAATTGCTCTATAAATTATTACACGTATTGAGAGGCTATTTAATGCTGTTCCGATCGAGAATCTAATAAAAAGACAGAAATATCCATGACGTACGTAACTTGTATTTTTTATTTACTGGGGAAAGGAGAATGTTCTCGTTACAATATTATTTCCGAATCGCCAAACTTGGATTATTATATATGAAAATCAAATATAGGTTTGTGGATTTCCCTATAAACAGTGGATTAATACGGATAAAACCAAGCATCTCATTGACTTAATAGAATCCAGATTTTGTAGCAGTAAATTACGAGGTGTTCACTGTCCAGCAACATGTTGCTACGGCGCTATTATTTATGTTAGATTTATGTTGGATATGGACTAATTAATTTCTTCTTCTTTTTTTTGGACCAAATGGTCTAATTAATTTATAAACTTTCCGTTGGGAGAAAAAGAATAATAAGTTAACCACTCCACGATGAGGCCCCGTTCACTTCGTTGATTCGAGTTTAGAATTCGAGTTGAGATGTGATTTTATGTGAGAGCTTTTTACTGTAGCAAAAAAGTTAGATGTGATTGTTTGTGAGAGCTTTTTACTGTAGAAAAACTCGAATTCTAAACTCGAATCACGAAGTGAACGGGTTTATTACAGAAAACTAACCTCATGTTTTCAAACAAAACCTTACGCACACATATAGAGGTGCGGGCATATAGGAAGGCGTAACGACATTAAATTCTCAATTCAAATAAACATGTATATAAAATAATAATGATATTAATAAGGGACATTTTTGAAACATACTGATAGGTCATATTTTTTAATCGTTAGATATGTATAAAATTACGTAAAAATTAAAAAGTGTACAGATCTAACGATTAAAAAAACTTAATTTATTCGTACATCGACATATCAGAGAATCTCCCTATTAATAAATTCAAACGAACAAATAAAGCGCGTTTATTCTTTGTATGTAGCAGTAAAAAGTTTTCTTAAGTTTTACCCTAGGTGTTAAAAAAATATCAGAGTTTCATTTGAACCATCAAATTTATATCAGATTTATTTAATTTAAATATTTTTATATTTTGATGTGATTTTAATAGACATAAAATTTAAAAATATGTGCTAAAAATCCCTAATGTAGAAAAGCTCGTTTTCATGAATGTAGTTCTTCATTGCTTTTGGTTTTGAGTAAGGTGAGCGAGCAGAAGTTTTGCTCAAAACTAAGATCATCTACAATATAAATGTTAATATTAATTATATATTTAGCATTACAAAGTGTGATATTATGTACTATTTTTTTTTTACTTCAATGCGTAATGTCATTTAAAATGTCAAATCTACTTTTTTCTATAATCATTAAATTTTGAAACTTGTAAATGTAAACTTCTTTTTTTTAAGTAATTAAAAAATATAAAAGTTGCAATGATTATATAAAAAGTAAACGTTTCAATCAATAATAATTAAATACTAAATTTTTCATATGAAATTTGTCATAAAATATAACATATGAGAAATATTTAACACAATAAATAACATTATATTCGAGTTTTTTGACGCTTAAATGTTAAATTTATAAGCATTACATGCTTTAATGTAAATAAATATCAAAATTGGCTGGCAGGTGGCGGGTCACTATATTCATGGGTGATGTCTATGGAAAGTCTTTCGACTTTATCTTTGCGAGGACAATGTGAAAGCTTGCTACCAAACTCTAATGTCAACCTTTTAGAGAGAGAGAGAGAGAGAGAGAGAGAGAGAGTGTGGAGTGGGCGTGAAGCCCAGAAGATCAGTTGGAACATCTTTTTCTTTCGGGGAGAGAGGGACAATAATGAGTGAGTGTGCATGTGAAATTCTGAACTCATGCGGATTACTTGTGGCCACTCATTGCCCATTTGGAAAGCTAACACGCCCAACGTAAAGGACAGTAGCGACCATAATCGCATATCGCAACACTTGCAACTTGACTAGGTGAAAATCTTTTTTTTCAAAAAAAAAAAGAAAGAAAGAAAGAAATGAAAATCTTTCACGGCTCTTAAAAATATCCCGTTTCTAACATCTTTTTTCACGTCTTAAACCCCCCCCCCCCCCCCCACACCTCTCCTTTCTC